TTGGGGTCAAGGGTGGTGGGTAATGTGGGGCCTTGAGTTGATCTTAACGTAGTTGTCATGACTTATAAATATAGTAGCGGTGGTAATCTTTCGTATTCATTCAGGTCAGGACTATTCAACTCTAACAGGTGCGAACGTCCAAATTACACATTCACTTAAATAATATTAGGCAATGTTATACGATTTGTGTAAATAAAAGTGTATAAATGAGATTCAATCCTCATAAGCAAAAAATACACATTCAAATGATTTAACTTTTGCTTTCGTGAATACAATAAATAACAGATAAAAAGAAGAATACACGCTTATATTTTGAGCTCACCAAATAGAATTTAACAAAATGACAGAAAACAGAAAAATAATTGTTACAAATCTCTGTTCAAACCAAAGCAGGAGTATGTGAGTATAAGGTTATATACATTCTTTTATTTAAACAAACTGTTTTTTTTTTATTCTCATTAATTTACTTAATTTTTTTATCTCAGTCAAAACCTCTTATAACTTGAAGAAAGTGGTAGCATTTTGATGTTATTTAAACTGTAAGACATCGATTAAAATGCAAATTATTTCCAAAACACACTTTATTTTAGTTTCTGCCAACAATTTTACATAGACCATTTACGTTTCCATTTATCTTCAGGGCGTCTCCACCTAAATAATGTAAATGGTAGATACGTCCAGGTAGGCAAAGCTAATAATTGCATAACGCCAAACTAAAAATTTGCTACACTTAGAAATCAAAGGAAGTGAAAAACAAAAGTGTTTTTAAAACTGATAATTACCTCTAGTACAAGTCGGAAAATCAAGAAATCCATTGCATCCCCTATCACATGATCCAGTCAAACCATTGCACGAGTCTCCCCAGCAGCTTATTTTACACAAATTCCCACAGTTGAGACCCCATGCTCCGTTGTCGCATGCTAAGGAAATAAACGTAGAATAAGAACTTTAGGGAACATTGTAAATAACGAACACGTAATTCAATAGAATTGTTCCATGTTATTTGTATGAGCACACTCTTTTAAAAAAAATGAGTTATTTGATCCTGTTTGCAGAAATGAAATTCACAGTCGCGATTTTAAAACTCGGTTTCTTTAACGCAGATTTCTTCTTTGCGCTATAAACAAATACCCTTATTTTAATATGTAAATATTTTCTGTAATTTGGGAGTGGTTTTTTGAAGTAAACAAGAGTATTGTCAATTTTTTAACAAAATCTACATTTCACTTCTCCATTTTTATAATAAAATGGGACATTGACTTTGAATGGAACGACACAGAGCAATTTTCGTTTCTTTTTTACTTTTAGAACAGTCTCATACTCCGTGCTTGTTCAGCCACCTTCGATCACGACTTACGTGTTTTACACAATGGTGGATCTTTGTATCCGTTACAAACTTGACATGCTCCAGTTTCTACGTTACAGGTCAAGCTGCAGGCAGTGTTACACTGTTTGTTACAGTACAGATCCCATGAGCCAGGCACACATTCTGTAGTAATAAAAAAAATTTTTTGAGTTTTAAAAATTATTTTTGTTAAATATTAAGTTTAGTGTGGTGGGTTCTTTTTTTGGTGTGCTGTTTTTGTTTGTTTGTCTGGAAATCTTTAAATTGATAATTCATAGTTTTTGTGACTTTAAATGAAAACTTTATTCTCTCGTTTCATTTGCGGTAGTAAGTCAACCGATAAAAAGTTATTAAGATTTCTCCATGTTAATTAATCGAGAAGATGAATGTAGATATGTGTAAAAAAAAAAAAAAGGTTTAAACCAAATTTTAAATAAATATTTAAATTTTAGCTAACAGGTACATGACATATAATAATAATTCCAGTTTCACTGACTTTGAGTTATTTTTTTTCCCACATCTACCATGTACCATGTTAATTTTTACAATGTCATTAGTCTAGCGTCCGTGTCCTTAGCTGGTATTTCAGCACATAATATTTTATCAGTTATTTCCACAGTTCTTGGTTATTCGTCATTCCAAAGTATCAAGACGAGGAGACATTGCGGTAGACCTCATTTCCAAAACAAAATGACTTAGATTTGTGTGCAGTTGACCAGTAAATGATCTAGCGCACGACGGCAGAAGCAGAGAATGACCGCGCAGAACGGAGCGCCTTGAGAGCGTGGCGGACAAGATCCACTCGGGAATTATCATTATAGATGAATTTAATTTCACTCTCTTCTTTATCTTTTTATTTTGTGAAATAAACATTATTAAGAACTATTCTGAATTTACTAATTCATGACTTCACTTGTGTTTTCTGACGTACGAGCAAAATTATATATATAAATATCTATATGTAATATAATATATATATATATATATATATATATATATATATATATATATATATATATATATATATATATAAATATATATATANTCAGTCCAACAACAGGAATCGTGCTCTCAGTTTCTGTGACAGTGACGTTGTAAACGGCGGTCAGTTCAGCACTTTGATCCTGGAAATGAAACACTGTCTTGGTCGCGTCAAAACTTTCCAGTGTGAACTTATTTAATCGTGAGCTGCAGCCGTTGTAACACGCTGTCAGAGTAAGAGATATAAATAAATTAATTATGTTTTGTTTTTTTTTTTGAAACAGGAAATAAACTTTCAGAATGAAATTAAAATAGCTTAACTATGCTTAGTACCGTCAAAATCAATACCCCGCTTGCTAAAACGAGATTCCAAACATGGCCAAATAGTGATAATTTTATGGTCAAGATCTTATTTGAATCAGATCTAAAGGAAGTGGGTTTTATGACGCCGCTCAGTTGAACAGAATCGCCCGATGAACTCTGAAGATATTTCACTATTGAACGAAACCATTACCATTTAATAATAGACATTGGTTTTATAAGAAAGACGGCTTACCTTCATTATTTTAATTTTCAAATAAATAGGGATCATAGATTAGACTAATTGAAACAATAATTTGTTCCTTATTAACATAAGCAGAGGAGATTGGACCAGAAGCTTTATGTCATAATGCCAATAGTTCAAATATTTGAATATTCGCACGAGGGCGGAATAATGGATATACATTTAGGAAACAAAATTTAAACGGCAATTGCATTCAGTACCAAAGATCCATGCTTCTAAGGCATCTTCAAGTTAAGGTTTCCCCATACTTTCTTTCACTCATTTCCTTTTTTTTTGCTAACCTGATTGCAGTCTCTCCCCCTTATTACCATTGTTTTGATTTCAACCCAGCTTACCAATTTCAGACATGCGCTCTGAACACAAGTCACTAGTGAAAAATTTTTACTTTTTTAAAATGATATTTTTAAGGCCTAGCAGCGGGTAAAACGTGAAAAAAAGGGTGGGGGCAGATTAGAAAGCAGGAAATGAAGCAAATGGTGTCACCCCAATCAGACAGTACATGGCTTAACAGAAAATGAATTGGTTTGGCTACCAGGTCACACTGCCTGTCAACCATCCTGCATTTTCCGTGACAATAGCAAGCGATCCGGTTTCAAGGTTAGAACATGCCGCCCGTGGTTTGACTGTGTTAAGAACACCCTAAAAGTATATAACCGTGAACTTTAAGCAGCCCTTACGGCCTTAAGCGGATACCAGCTGTACATTCCCTGGTAAAAGAGTACAGACAAGAAGAGGATAGGGCGGTCGGTGTGGTTGTAAAGCACGTTTTTTTTTCTGTTAAAAATCGCAGATCCTTTCAAGATTCGCATGTAACACATTCGACCGCACCAGTGGTTGGTACCTGCGGGCTAGTGGAAACCTACGACTTTGTTTACCCGATCTTTGAAGGCGTGATTAAACCTCTTTTTCATAATAATATATATATATATTTTTTTTAACCATTTTTTAATTTCAAGACAGCAATCCCCACTCCCGCCCCTACCCGCTTGCCCGCGGCCGCCCTATTTCGGCACACAACAAAATTATTCGAGAATTGTGTATTTGCAACGTAACGCGATTATCGTATCTTTTTACGACCGGATCGATTCATCCTAATTTGGAATTTCAAAGAAAATGATAATAAACTTTTTAGAATGAAACTTTCGGTTTATAAATAGTGATGCTGTTTTCTGTGTCCAAAGATTCTGTTAGTAATCAAAGGATAATTTCAAAACTGATATAAGTTAAGAATGTTAAACGAGATACCTTTTTTCTTCAATCCTATATATTAACTTTACTCTTGTTCATGTGTTGTTGTTTTTTTTCTGGCTTGGTGGCAAAATCGTCGGACGGCTAATTGACCAATTTCCCGTCAACCTATCGAGCTGAAACTTGACATATAGTCTTGTTGCCGATGATAGCACATTGGTTCAAATTGTTAGCCCCACTTTCAAACCCAACTCTTTAAAAAAAACCAAAAAAAAAAACCTCCCATGCTCTTCAATTGAAGATGAAGGAAATATGATGACAATGACTTCACGGAATAAAATGCCCGATAACTGCGCTAAAATGAAATTATTTTTAAAAATAGTGCACTAAAATGAAATTATTTTTAAAAATAATGCGCTAAATGAACATATTTAAAAAAAATATCGCAAGTACGTTTGTTCGGTAGGTTTTTTTTTCCTTCTGAAATTGTTGGTAAAATAAATCTGCGGTTTAAAAGCAGGTGGGGCATTGGAATCTTAATGCAAAATAAAATAGTTAAACTGCATGTAAAGGATTTATACGAAAAGCGTAGTTTTTAAGGGCTGTTTTAATGCATCATGACATCTGTAGAGTTGAGCCGACTACGCTTGACATAATTGAGTCTATTGCTTCGGGTCTTCCAACCTCCATTTCATAATACCATCGCTGAGTAGCCCTTTTAACCCATGAAGTATTCCCTTCAAAACCATGCATAATTACACTGCTAAACCCCCTCCCCCCCCTTTCCTCATTACAAAGATAGGAGCCAGAATAATCAATACATTTATCGTGGGTCCTCAAACTATAGAAGGAGACCAAGGAGAAGACGCAATGTGACTGTATATATATTTGAATAAATACAAACAAACAAAAAAGAACGTATTAACACTTACTGCTCTCAATTCTATTGTACAAAAAGATTCTGTTGAGTACTTGTGCGTGGTCAAAGGTTACATTCCAGCTTGGGCTTGAATCGTTTGTATGAGAGCAAGTATTGTCAGTGAATATTCCACTGGTGTTACCGTCAACGGCTTTGGATGCTGTTGCATCGATTGTCAACTCTCTGTAGGTAGATGTCTGAGCTGCATTGTGTCTTAATGCAACGTTACGACCTGGTGTGATCGTTAGTTAGTGAGTTCATTTTTTTTAAAAATATTTATTTCTATTACTTTAGTATAAATTTGAAGTCTTCAACGCTAATCGTTAATAATTCGATTTTTAAATGTTACTGTTACAAACCTCTTCTTGCTTAATAGGTTTGTTGGCTTCGTTGTCTAAGGGTTTATTATATACACTTCACAACTATAAATTCTTGTATGAAAATATCTTTATTCATCAAACTAAGTCCTCAACTGCCATTACCGTACTCAAAGAACAACACTTCACAACCATCTACAATACTAATACGTCATATCCCTTTTCACACAATACGTCACAAGATACTAAAAATAACAGATAAAACAACACACATAATCTCAAACCAACACGCAATCACACCATGCATTCAAGTCCCTAACAGTTACTTAAGATGTTTTTTTTTTAATGCCTTAACTTTTAAAAGTAATTAAAATTTTACCGGCTATCAAGAATCTTATTTAACAGAACTGGAAAAAGAAATGTTTAAAAAAATTAAAAAAAAAAAATACAAAGAAGTAATGAACTATCATTAAGCATTCACTAAGCAAACCTATTTAGAATGCACTCACCTCCAACTAATGTAAAGAGAACATAACGACTTGACACCATGACCTTCGATGATAACAGACGTTGTGTCCACAATCACCTTACATCGGATGTCAATGGTGTTGGTGTTTATGACAAAAATCTTTGGCTCCAAACAATTAACGTTGGTCGATGTCCTTGTGTTTATTGACAATGTTAAATTTCCGAGATATACTATTGGCAAAAAAAAAAACAACAAAAAATAAAAAAACAAAAAACAAAGCTAAAAAATTAATTGCACTAAAAAGATTGAATTTATGAAGATAATATAATATTCTTGAGTTAAACCAAACAAATGGAAAATGACTCTCATTACATTGTAGATAAAAAAATTTCAGTCTATTGATACACTTTCTCATTACGGAAAAACCTTCTTTTATACAACAATAATTTCAGTGTAACACATTTAAATAATTTCTCAAGCGCAAAAATCAGCCAGTAAATGCCGTATTACATCAAACTTCCTTGTAATGACAATATTGATTCTTAGAGTAAACATTTGACGTAAAACCTCACTTCCTTGAAATGACAATCTTGATTCTTAGAGTATTCATTTGCCGTAACACCTAACTTCCTTGTAATGACATTATTGATTCTTAGAGTAAACATTTGCCGTAACACCTAACTTCCTTGTAATGACATTATTGATTCTTAGAGTAAACATTTGCCGTAACACCTAACTTCCTTGTAATGACAATCTTGATTCTTAGAGTAAACATTTGCCGTAAAACCTCACTTCCTTGTAATGACAATCTTGATTCTTAGAGTAAACATTTGCCGTAAAACCTCACTTCCTTGTAATGACAATCTTGCTTCTTAGAGTAAACATTTGCCGTAACACCTCACTTCCTTGTAATAACAATCTTGATTCTTAGAGTAAATATTTGCCGTAAAACCTCACTTCCTTGTAATGACAATCTTGCTTCTTAGAGTAAACATTTGCCGTAACACCTCACTTCCTTGTAATGACAATCTTGATTCTTAGAGTAAACATTTGCCGTAAAACCTCACTTCCTTGTAATGACAATCTTGATTCTTAGAGTAAACATTTGCCGTAACACCTCACTTCCTTGTAATGACAATCTTGATTCTTAGAGTAAACATTTGCCGTAACACCTCACTTCCTTGTAATGACAATCTTGATTCTTAGAGTAAACATTTGCCGTAACACCTCACTTCCTTGTAATGACAATCTTGATTCTTAGAGTAAACATTTGCCGTAACACCTCACTTCCTTGTAATGACAATCTTGCTTCTTAGAGTAATTTTTTTATTGTAAAATAGCCGCGGAGTCAAGACTAAATAAAGTCTAAGATGTGTAAATGTAACTGCACACAAACATACAAATATAACATATTTAAGCAGAAATAAATAGTTTTTTTCTCACGTATGTGTACGTTCTGATTCACTTTCCTTGGTTTATAAGCCTTTGTTGTGTTTCTTGTTAATTTTGTTTAAAGCATAATTTGTTATCGTTTTGTCAAGCAGTTTATTTGAAGTTATTATACGTTTTGTTTTACTAATATTTAGTTTTATGGCAGGGGTGGCGAACTGCGGCCCGGCAACTGATGTTATGAGGCCCGCGAAGGCAGTTACAAATAAGAAAAAAATATTACTACTTGTTTAAGTTATCTTGTTGAATGTTACAGAAGTTCATCTACCGTTATGATTGTTTTAACATTTTTTAATAGAATTTCTTTGCCATTTTCTATTTGTGTAAAAAGTCCTTGTCCTTCGTGGTGTAATGATAATATGGCAAAATATATATGCAGCTTTTCATGTGTCAAAGTGGCCCTACGCACACAAAGTTTTCCCACCCCTGTGTTATGATCTACTCTCTTATTAGTTTCTCATCTAGTATTTTGCGTAGTAATTAGATTATATTTGATTAAAGTTATAATGTACATGTCCAAACGTGCAAAATTGAATTTTTACGAGATAAAAGTTATATATAAATATATATATATTTAAAACGTTTTTTTTTATTTATTTAGATTTAAGTTTTAAATGATAAACCTACCTCTGTCACGTATACTGATTCTAAGCCATGTAAAAGGTATCGCCGAAGGCCAAGCAACAATAACCCTCATGAGACTGACATCGGCGTTACAGGTTGTGTCATCTCTATCAGTTATCCACGCGTATGATGGCTGGGATGGTGAGGCAGCTAATTTTGCTGTAGGCCCACTTCCTAAATCTTCTGTACGTTAAAATGTGATGAAAAATCAAGAATAACTATTGAAAATACTTAAATTGAACGGCCAAATGAGAATATTATTTACGTATTCACATTCAAAAGCAAAGATACATAATTATAGTGTCTTAGAAATGGCCCCCCCACCCCCACCCCTTTTTTTCTGTTTCAATGGATTGAGCATTTTAATTTTATTTTTATCTTGTGTTTTTTTATATTATGTCCTAGATAATAATGAGTATTAATATTAACAGAATTAGCTATAATATAAAATATATCATTTATTAAACAATCCATTAATTTTGACTTATGATAATACAAGTTGATAATAAAAGTTGCCAACAAGTTCGTCAAGATTTATGAGCTTTCTTAGTTAACATATAAAAAAATATATATATATTACAAAATTTAGCAAGACGTAATCATCAACTGTTGATAATTTAAATATATAATTAACTTTTGTCTCATGAAATCATAGCAATCTTTTTATTTAATTAATCAACCTAATTACTCTTTTTTTGTCAATATATTTGTAATTATTACTCAAAACAAATTTTTATCGCATCACTTAAAATCAAGAATTAATTAATACTTTATAAAAATAATCGGACAAATCTTTATTTCGTGATATATAACAGCACATGTTGGAATGTCCGTAAAGAGAAACTTACGTTTAATAGATTTTTTTTTTAATTGTTGAAAAATTGACAAAATAACATCATGCAATAGTTGATCATTCTCAAAGTGTAAAGACAAGATTGAATTAAAAATGTTTGACTTCAGTGTTAAAATAAATTTTAAAACTGAAGAAAAAAAAAAAAGTTAATTGCGATAGTGACTCACGATATTGACATGAGTTCCCAAACCAACCCGTGGCACATTTCGATGGGCTTGAACACTGGCCAGTGGTGGGGTCACAGGTTAAACCAGGCGCACAGTGACATCGAAATTGGCATCTGGAACCAAACCAACCGCTGTCACAGTCTGTCACGTTGTTTGAAGTATGTGATAAGGAAGATAGTGTTCAACATGAGATTACTGAGATATCAATTTTTGAAAATAGCCTTAACATGGATCATTAATAAAAAAAATATTGAAAACATATTTCATTCTTACTTATGATAATACCGATATATCTAATAAAAACAAATTAGCGGTAACATGTATCATTAATTAAAATTGAAAATTTTAAGTTTAAATTCTTACTTTTGAATTTAACAAAAAATACAGACGCTTACTTTGTATTGCAGAACATGTCTCAAATGCTATAAAAAGATGCAAGTAAGCAGAAAACCAACTGATTGCCGTGGCCATTGAGCTGTATGACATAGTGATAAAAAAAGTTAAGTCACTTCAATAACTTTAATCACTTTTTTTAGAGCTTCCAAATAAATGAATACTATTATTACATTAGTCCTCCATTCTCAAAGGAAAATTATGTTATGTATATTTATACCTCGTATGATAACTAACCCAAAAGAAATGCGATTTTTAAGACTATAAAATTTTCTTTATCTGTGAAATAGATTTGTATACTTATCGTTTTAAAGGTAAACAAACAGTAAGTATCAGGTTGAAAACCATAAGACATTTAGGCCAAAAAAACAACAACACAAAAACAAACAACATTTTACATATTTCCTTAAAATCGAACCTTTTGCATGGACGGGTCTCCTAGGCAGCTGTCTTGTCCCCGTCAATAACAAATTCTTGTGCTGTGTTGTCTCATGTGTTAGCTAACAAAGATCTGGCACCATTTTAAGAAAAAAAAACTACAAGGATCTAAGTGGTCGACAGCTCTGGGGAAAACCTTCCCAGCAAGGTGCCAGTGAAGATTCCCCCTTTCTGCGTCCACAAAATAACAGGATCATGTTTTACCCCAGCGGTATAGCGGTCGGCTTTTTCACTGGTCCGACATAGGAAGTTAAAACCTTTCTACGTTAGGTCTAATTTAAAGAACACTACCCATTTGGCGTATCTGGGGTAGCCAGCTGGTAAGCCATTAGTACGAAACATCCCGGGGCTACCGCTTTGCTTCCCGTCCATTTTGTGGGGGAGGTTAAGGTTTGCGAGTAGGCATCTCCGTGGGGACCATTAGAACTTTGGTTTGGGTCACTGAAGTCATTCCTTATAAACAATTATTTGCTTCTTTATATATAATATATATATATATATAATCGTACCCGGAAATTTGATC